ACTCAAGGGAATGCCTGTCAATTAGAGAATGGCTGGAAAAGTTGTGGCATATGATTGTGGAGGACTATGTTGCTATAAGACATGATGAGCAGGATGGTTTCAGAAATACCTGGGAAGACTTATATGAACTGATACAAAGTGAAGTAAGCAGAACCAAGAGAACATTGTACACAGTAACAGCAACATTGTAACAATGATCAACTGTAAAAGATTTGGCTACTGTAATCAATACAATGATCCATGACAATTCCAAAGGACCCACGATGAAAAATGCTCTCCACCTCCAGAGAGAGAACTGATGAATTTTGAATGCAAACTGAAGCATACTTTTTAAACTTTATTTTTCTTGTTTTATTTTTTGTCTGTGCTTTCTTTTGCAACATGGCTAATATCAAAACATGTTTTGTATGACTTCACATGTATAACTGATATCAAATTTCTTACCTTTTCAAGTAGGAAGAGGAAGAGAATTTGGAACTCAGAATTTTAAAAACAATTATTGTTAAAAAAAAAGTTTTATATGTAATTGGGAAATATTTAATGAAATAAATAAAATACATTTTAAAAAGTTAATCAAAAAGTTAATCATTTTTACAGAGATGCCTAAACTGGGTCTTTCAGACATCGGGTTCTCTGAAGTGAATTTTCTTCCAGTTAGCCAGGAGACAACCCAAAGGGGAAAAATGACCAGATTCCACATTGGGAGTAAATTAGACAAGAAATAATTTAGTTTCCAAACCCACAGGCAATTGCCACAAATACAGAATCAATAAATAAACATTTATTAAACACCTACCGGCCTCAGACCAGACACTTGACACTTACTAGCTGTGTGATCCTGGCCAAGTCACTTAACCCCCATTGTCTAACCAAAAAGCAAACAAAAACAAAAACAAAAAACCACCTACTACATGCCAGGCCCTGTGCTACGCTCTGGGAATACAAAAGGAACCTGAAAGATCCCATAATGATGACCAATTATTTAAGGTAGAATTCGGACTTAGGTGAGATTTACTGCTGATCCTCATTCTTCTTGGATTCCACGTTTTCGAATTCACCTCCTCACTAAAATGTATTTGTAACCCTCAGATCAACTCTCTAGTGAGGCTCTTAACCATGGCCTCCAAGGACACTGCTGTCTAGCGTTTGTAAATCCAAGAAGGTTGTGAGGTGACTTACAGAGAAAATACCTGTTAGATAAGCTTCTTCAGGCATGAATCATTGTGCTGTTGGTCGTGAGTTCAATGGTAATCAATCAACAAAACAGTACATCCAGAAAAAGGAAGAGGAAATTCTATGATGTGTACGTGAGATTGTTCTGGAAAGTGCTAAAGTAAATGTTGCAACTAGAGGTTCACAGGAAGCCAATCTTGTATTTCTCCTAGGAGAAATTGTTCAGTATTTGCTGCTGTGCATTTATAAACTTTATAGAACACAACCACCAGGAGTGAAGAGAAGCAACCACATATCATTAATGATAGGGATACTACTGACCACTAGAGATTTATATCAGATCAGACCAAATTTAACGAGGGATTTAGACAGGAGGAATGGCTAAGTGCTAGGGGTCGGGAACCTGCAGCCTCCAGGCCACGTATGGCCTCCAATTTGTTCTGTGAAGTTTGGATTCAGTCAAAGGGCTGCACTTGAAGACCTAGCGGGCCACATGTGGCCTCGAGGCTGAAGGTTCCCCACCCTGGGAAGACAATACAGTAATTATAAATGACAGTCAGACATATATAAGTTTCTTGCTTACTTGCGTGGGGGAAATAAGATGAAAAGGCACATTATTCCAGATATTCAGCCCAAAATAAAAAAGGCCCTCCCATTAAAACACAGGTTCTTCACTCAAGCCCTTAGCTGGAATCCTGACTCATAGTGCCAATGCTTACCATGGAATGGAGAGGGGGGGGGGGTTGCTGCCTAGTTGATCACATCAGGGTTTAACAATTTATATCTAATAGATTATTCAAGTGCCAGGCAGACAGACAATACAGACAATATTAGCAACATTAACCCAACTCTATGATTTTCTAAATAGCACTGTACTTTAACACCTAGGTGATTTCTCCTACCCAGAAATCTCCCAAGGTAAATACATAAACTACCTATCTATTAATATATTATTGTATATAAAACATGTATATTTATAGGTGTGTTTATATATGTATACATATGTGTATATATCAGTTGGGCAGCTAGGTAGTTCAGTACATAGAGCTGGGCCTGGAGTCAGGAAGACCTGAATCCAAATCTAGCCTCAGAGACTTACCAGCTGTGTGACCCTGGGCAAGTCAATTAACCTTATTTGCCCTAGTCCACTGGAGAAGGAAATGGCAAACCACTCAACCCCCTGGGAGGCAGCTAGGTGGTGCAGTGGATACAGTCAGGAAGACCAGAGCTCAAATCTGGCCTCAGATACTTGACACTTACTAGCTGTGTGACCCTGGGCAAGTCACTTAACCCCAATTGCTTCATCAAAAAGCAAAAAAAAAAAAAAAAAAAAAAAAGAAAGAAACCACGGATAGTATTGGTGTGCTATGGTCCACAAAGTTACGGAGTTCAATACAACTGAACAACAAAATATATTGCCTGTCATTTGTAACAGACACACATTTCCACTGATGTATTATTATATATTATATGCACACTGATATATAAAACATGCACTCATATACATGCATGTACATATGTGTATGGACACATATTTGTATCTCACTTGAAGATTGTGAGACACCCCTTTCGTCATTGACTGGTGGAGCTGTCACGCTCTTGAATGAATAAATGGCTCTTCCCTCCTATCTCAGCATCACTGACTACTCATTGGTAGCAGTGCCTGGTCAAGGGGGCCCCTGGACTTAGGAAACGACTGTCTCTGAGGTCATTGGCCAGCTCTAAATCTGTGGCCCTGTGACTTCGCTTCTCCTCCCTGGGTCTATTTCCTTCTCTGTGAAACAAAGGAATGGACTACCTGTTCTCTGGGTCCCTTCCATCTCTAGGTCTATGACTCTTCCCTGTGCCTCAGTTTCCTCCTCTGTCCAGTGAGGGAGTTAGTCAATCCCTTCTGGGATCCCTCGAAGTTCCCTTGCGGTGTGTGCCCCAGGAACCACAGCCTTCCTGGCCTCAGGTCCAAGACGCTGTTGGTGCTGTGGGCACAGTGGGCTCCTCAAGTTATCGTTCCAGCGCAGACAGTATATTTCCCTTGTCTGGACCCCGGCCTGAGATCCTCTGGCCCTGGCCTCTCCTCCCCCGCCCTCTGCGAGTATTTTCCGGAAGTGCTCTTGTGCTTCATTTGCATAACGGGACCGTTTGCCCCGGGGCAGATGTTGGCACAGAAGGATAACCAGTGAAAGAGTGGGGCCTTCTGAACCCCAAGCCTCGCAGGAAGTGTAGGTCCTGAAGGGAATGCGAAGCCCTGGAGGCTGGGACAGAGAGCAGGGCCAGCCGTCGGTCACCATGACCGCAGCGGGAGTCTGTGACCAGGCCCTGGGTGCCCGCCTGTCCTGTTATCAACCATAGCTTTTGCTCAAAATAATAGAAAGCACTTTATACAAAGAAAAGATTAAGACTAGCAGAAGCATGTTTTGAAGGATTAGCGGAACTCGAGACCAGCCCTTGAAAACGGCTGCGGCGATTATCAAACTTATAAGTTGGTTTCCTCGCGAAATTGCTGGTCTTCTCCCTCAACCCAACCGTACTGTGGTTCGACACATTGCTCAAGGACTACCTCCTGGAGAAGAGCTCCGGCTGCAAAGAGAGGGGGTGTCGCAACGAAGAGGCAAATCGTCCAGAGCGCCTGCTATGAATCGCCTTGGAGCTGCGAACGAATCCGAAGCGGGCCGGACTGGGCCGTAGCACTTCCAGTGTGCTCAAAGCATTCAGTCTCTCCGTCGTTTGGCTCGTCAGTGGGCCGCCGACGGCGTGTGCCCGTCGTAGATTCGACCGCGCTCCCATATCAAGATTAAGGAGGCGGGCCGCTGGACCGCAGCGAGAACCATGTGGGACGGGAGTTCTGCCGTTTGACTGCGCTGTGACCCGGATTGGTACGTTAGCCCTCTGCTGGGTGAGGAAGCGAGGCCTCCAAAGCCGCGCTGCTCGACGGCCAGGACGAGCTGCTCTAGCAGCTTCAGTCTCACCCGCGAGCTGCATGTGGTCCTTCCACGTCGGACTTGGCGGTGAGTAGGACTCATACCGCAGCCCTTCCCTAAGGGCTTCTCGGAGGCATGAGCCAAGCTGCGAGGACATTGAGCCTTAATCGGGAGCAGACTGGAGCCTCGGCCTCCGCTGGGACTCTACTGGGAGACGGCCTGCTCTATATGGCCCAAATCCACTTTGCTCGTGAGCAAGCGGGAGGCTGCCTGACCCGGTGGTGGCCTCCCCCCGGGGCTCCCGTGGAAGCCCGGTAGTTTCAAGGAGCGCTGTTGGAATGGAATGGACCGTGACTGGAGCCGAGAAACCCCCGCGCGGGTCGGACTTGGAGGCGCCTTACTACCCAGCCTTGCGAGGCCCGGACCGGCCTCCGGGAAGCGCCGCTGGAGCGCAGAGGGAGGCTGCCCTGGACGGACCTGAGATTGCAGACGGCGTTCTGGGGATCAGTCCCCGGGGGCTGCTTTCAAGGGAGGGGGCACCGGCCGAAACGCTGTACAGGCGTGTGCTTTGTAAACTGCGGGGACTGTAAACTGCTGGGGCGTTAACGCTTTAATGGCGCTTCCTTTGGCCGCGGGGCCGGGGCCGGGGCTGACTTGTTGCTAGCGTTTGTCCCTCCTTTGCGCTTCTCCTGGAAGGCAGGGCGCGCACTTAATAAAGGTTCATCCTGTATGAAGGGCCGCGTGCGGTGGAAAGAACCCAGACCCGGGCCTCCGTCTCCCCATTTGTCAAAGGGAGGAAACGATCGACCTTCCGGGAGGAGGGTGGGGTGGGTGGAGAGTGCTTGGGGAAGGGCGGGGCTGGGGGCGGGGCGAGAGGCGGAAGCGGAAGCTCCTGGGCGGGTTCACGCCCATTGCCGCCGCCAGCCTTTCTGCCCGGAAGCCGTGCTGCACTCTGGCTTCCGGCCTGGGGCGTCCGCCATGGCCCGCAAAAAGAAGAAGGGGAGCGACGGGAGCCAAGGCCGCCTCGTGCTCACCTTCGACGAGGAGAAGCGGCGGTGAGCCTCCTTCCTTCGACCAGGTGTCCCCCCCTTGCCTCCCCAGATCATGGTCCGTCCTGGGAACCACGTGGTTCCTCCCCCGCCCCCAGAACCTGATCTGGCTTAGGAATCACGTGGACTCTCCCCGTGGTTGGGGGGCGGGGCTGCCCGGGAGCCGGGTTCCGCTTCTGCCAGTTTTCAGTTCTGGCTCAGCGCGTTCCTAGGGCTTTGTTTTTGTTTTGCTTCATTAGTGGGGAGAGGACTCTCAAGAATTAAAAATAAATTTAAAAACAAAACAATCTCTGGGCGTTTGGGGTGGGGGGGGTCTTGAAGATGACTCTTACACCCCTTGCCTGAAGCCCCCAGGGACGGTCAGGTGCCCCCTGCTCCCGCTTCGGGTGGGCCCCGACTGTAGACAGTGTACATGGCGGTGTAGACGCCCTGCTTCCGTCCTCCCCCCTAAAAAACAAGGGTCACCCGGCGCTCCTCGACGTCGGAATCACGTCATTCTCCCCATTGTACAGAGGAGAAAACCGAGGCTGCCCCAGGCTCCTAGATCCGGGGGAAGAAGGGACCCTGGAGCCGGGGTAACCAAGGTCATCAGAGCCTGGATTTGAACCTAGGTTCCCTGGCAGCAGTTCCGGCGCTCTTGCCCCCGAGTGGGATAAGCTGCCAGGAAAGGTAGTGAGTTCCGTATCTCTAAAAGGCTGGATAACCCACGAGGAGCTTTAGAGACCGTTGGGTGCAACCTCCCTCCATTTTATAGGTGATGAAACTGCGGCACACCTTGACCGCCGGTCTTCCTGAGCCCACCCCAAGTAGTCCATCCACTGCCCTAGTAGCTACCTCACCTTGCTGGGGTGGGGGACCCAGGGTGGGCTGCACGCGATGGCCAGACTTCTCCCTCCCCCCAGGGCTGTTGTCAGGTCCCGGAGATCCTGCAGGGAAAAGCCATCCCACAGAGAGCCCCCTGCCCATTGGTGCAGCTTGGGCCTGAGCTAGAATCAGGAAGACCCGAGTTCAAATCTGCTTCAGTGAGTGTCTCTGAGCAAGGCACTCTAACTGGCCTCAGTTTCCTCATCTAAAATGAGTGGATGCGAGCACCTGCCCCCTGGGTCGTCGTGAAGATGAAGTGAAGACTTTGTAAAGTGCTTTGGATTTACATATGTGATTATATTTGAACACTAGCACATGTTTACACACGTGGTGTGTTCTAGAAGAAGGGGGCAGCTGCATTTTCTCCCCGTTGCCCAGGCAGCCTCGGTCACGTTGGAGTTTGTTCTATAAAAGTGCCTTGCACATGGACGGGGCCATCCGCCTTAGAGGAATGGCAGAGTCCCCGAGAGCCAGGCAGGCCCGCCCTCCTCTGCTGCCCCCCCATCCCGGCCCCCTCCTTCTCCCTGCAGAGACTACCTGACGGGCTTCCACAAGCGGAAGGTGGAGCGGAGGAAGGTGGCCCTGGAGGAGATCCGCAGGAAGCTGAAGGAGGAGCAGCGGAAGCTGCGGGACGAGGTGCCCCGGGGAGGGACCGCGGGGGGTTGGCCTGTTGAGCTGCCCGAGCCCCGAGGTCAGCCCTGAGAGCCTGGTGGGGAGGCTGGGGGGGGCTCACGGAGGCCAGGACGCCTGCTGCACATCCCCTAGGGCGGGGGGGAGGCCCTGAGTCCCAGAGCCCCGCCCCCATCCCCTAGAGCCGCCCTCGAGGGTCCCCTCTCAGGTCTGCCCCCTCCCCTTCCAGCGCCACAAGGAGTATCTGAAGATGCTGAAAGATCGGGAGGAGGCTCTGGGTAAGTCCTAGAGTGGGGGGAGCAGAGACCCCACCCTCACGCACACGGATACAGGGAAATGGGCCTTGTCCTGACCCCACGGGGCCCTGGGGCGGAGAGGCCTCAGCCTGACTCGGGCCATTGCAGAGGAGGCAGACGAGCTGGACCAGCTGGTGACCTCCAAGACGGAGTGCGTGCAGTATGACCATCCCAACCACACCGTAACCGTGACCACCGTTAGCGACCTGGACCTCTCCGGGGCCCGGCTCCTGGGGCTGCCCCCGCTGGGGGTAGGTGCACGGTGGGGCAGAATGTGTGCTGCTGGCAGGGAGGGGTGGGGGGACACGGAACATCTGGGGTGCCTTGGGGCGTCCTGGAGAGGAGAGGATGGACAGAGAAGCCGGAGGGGGGGGGAGGGTAGCAGGAGCCAGGACTAGCTCTGTCTGGCCTGGCGGAGGACCGTGGAGGGCCCCTGGGGGCCCACTTTCGTACCTTGACTCCTTAATTTGATTCCTTGGCTGGAGTTGGAAAAAGGACCCTCACAGCAGGCGTGGTAGGGCCAGGAGAGAGCTTAAAGTGGGAATGTCAGAGACCAGAGATGGGGGGCTCATCTAGTGCTTTGTTGACCCCACCCATTTTACAGATGAAGTGGGAGGGTCAAGCAAAAGGGGGGAACCCAGAGTGGCATAAAGGGCTGGGTCTTTTGCTGAGAACAGCGGGGAGACTTCCAAAGCGGGGATCCTTGCTGCTGGTGGGACCATGGGCCCTTCCAGATTTCCTTGGCCCGGGACCTCCACCTCCGGGGCGCTCCCGTTCTGTATGAGGTAAGAAGCTGCCCTGCCTGCCCCTCAGGGAGAAGCAGAGACCCCCGCAGAGGAACCCATCGGTGCTTTGCCCAAGAAATCTCGGAACCCCTTCCTATCTCAGAGGTGAGCCCCAGTTCCAGCCCCACCCTTCCCTGCTGGGGGGCAGCTGCGCAGGTGCCCTGACCTGTCGGTGCCAGCAGAGGGCACCAGAGGCATGCTCATCTTTGGCTGCGGCAGGGCGGCCAGGCTCTAAGGTTGGGGGGCACACCCCGGGATTCCGGGTGCCCCCACCACCCCCAGCCAAGAGCCACCTTTGTTTCCTCCCATCAGGCAAGAGGGAGTCCCTCTGGTGCCCCGGCGCTGGCCCCCTCCACATGGGGAGGGCAGAGAGCAGCTCGGTTCTGGGGGAGTCTGGACAGGGCAGATTCTGGTCATGCTGAGACTCCCTCGAGGCTTGGCGGACTTGTAAATGTGTAAACACACACACATAAATGTCATTGCCGTGTGCCCACGCCCTGTCCCATCCTCAGGGTGCGGCCCCCTGACACTTTCGACCTTGCTTTGCCTTGGGAAGGCTCCATTGCTGTTCATTCTTTCTCTCCTTTGGGATTTCCATCAGTCCCCAGAAGGCCGGGCATGCAGCCCCCATCAGCCCGGGTTCTGGTGCGTGCCTGGTTGGGAGGCCATGAAGTGCACTGGGTGGCGTGGGGATTGGGAGACCCAGCCTCGCCTGCCTGTCTGACTGTGGAGGAGGCGGCCGGACCCCATGGCCGGAGGACCACCTGTGCCCCTTTGTCACGGCCCCTTTCTGAGCCCCCACCCTCTGTCCTTCTGTGGTCCTCTGACCCCTGCCTGCTGCGGCGTGCCTCATCCCACACCACTGGCCCACCTCCTGTGAGGCGGGGGAGCCATGTAAACAGCCCTTGGCCCCCCTTCAGCCTCCGTGTTTGTGGTCATTGTTCTGGGGGAGGGGTTGGTCATCGGGGCCCCAGGGGGAGCTTTGTGGACCCGCAACCACATCCTCTGGTCTCTCCTGGGCAGGATCTCCTCCCTCACAGCCTCCCTCCACGCACGGAGCCAGAGGCGGGCCAAGAGGAAACGCCCACGTCCGCACCGTGGCCTCGACTCCACCAAGAAGCCACCCAGCGCCACGCGGACCAGCAAGGCTCACCGTCGCAGGATGACCGGCGGGAACAGGAAAGATGGCGGCCCAGGGTAGCTGTGGGGCCTTTCCCCCACGCCCTCTCCTTGTTGCCCCCTCCTCAAGGCTGGAATCTTCTGGAAGCCGCCATAGAGCCCACTCTCCTGCCTTTGCCACCCAGACCTTGTGCCCTCACGGCTAAGGAGGCCTGGGTTCCAGTGCTCCCACCCCGGGGCCAGGCCTTGGGGGCCTTGAGTTGGACCCTTGCAACCTCAGTATTGTTCAACCTGCCTGTTCCCACAGCTTCTCTGGTTAGTCCGGGGAATGTGACCCAAAAGAAAGCAGCCTATGGGCAGGGCAGGGCGGAGCTCACTGACTGTGCCCCAGCCTCTGAGAAGCCCCTCACCCACTTCCTGTGTCTCCTTTGAGTGAAACTGTGGCCCCCACAGAGTGTTGACCGACAGCCCCTTCCAAGCAGGGGAGGGCCCGGCCTTGGGGCTGACAGATGGGGATCCACCCACTTGCTGCTGGGTGACCTGGGGCCCCTCCTTTCCTCCTCTGTGATTGGTCACCTCGAGCCCGTCCAGCCTGAATGGCCTGTCCAGCCATAGGAAAAGCTGCTGCGGTCCCTGCCCTCCAGCACTCGGTGGTTTTTCGAGGGGATGACCAGAGGTGTCTAAAGTCTAGCCAGTGACCGTTGATTCATCACTTCTGTGTGCCCCGCAGATGGGGGGCAGGTTTGACCACATTCCAGAAGGGACCTTGACCTCTAAGGCCACCAGGATGGGGAACCTCCGTTGTTCTTGCCTCCCGGGGCCTGATCTGAGGCCCCTCGCGATGAACCTTAGGACCTTGCAGGGTCTTTCTGGAGGATGAGAAGCAGCGTTAAATGAGTCCTGTTGGCCAGTCTGGGACCAGTGGAGAGTCACCTACTGTGTGCCCAGCACAGTCCTCACCGCTGGAGATAGAAGTTTGAAGAATTAAACCTTATGTGAAAGGAGCTGGTGTTGGATGGCAAGAGGAATCCCCAGCAGTTGGGAGTCCCAGAGTGGAAGGGGCTGCTTCAGGCAGTAGTGCGCCCCCCGTGGCTGGAGGTCTTCGAGGACAGGCCGGGTGGCCACTGCGAGCATGGCCTAGGGGCTGGTCCTCCAGGTGCAGGTGGGATTGTGGGGATGGCTCCTGAAGGTTCCTCCTGGGTCTGTGTTTGGTGGCGGCAGCGGCGGCAGCTGAGGGTCTCCTTGGCACCCCCATGGCTAGGAGAAAGAGAAGACTTGGAGGCAGCAGGTCCTTCACAGAGTGAAAAAAAAATCACTTTGAATTCAAGGAGAATTTTACTCACCTACTATGTGCCTAGCACATTGCTAGACCTTGGTGGGATACAGAGACCAGAATGAGACTTTGTGCCCTCATGGTGCTTACCTCCTAGTGCAGGGAGGAAACGACAATGTAGCCACCAGAATTTGGGGGTGGGAAGGTAGCACTGAGATTGGGATAGGGAGATCAGGAGAGGCCTCTTGGAGGAGGTGCCCCCTGAGCCGAGCTTAAAAGGGAGCTGGAGATAGCAGAAATGGAGGTGAGGAGTGAGAGCACACCCGGGCAAAGGCGTGGAGGTGGTAGATGGGAGGTAGGGTACTGAGAACAGCAAGAAAGGCGGCTTTACTGGAATATCAAGGGCTTGGGGAAATAGGGAGTGGCCGGAAGTTGGCCTGGATGGCGCCTTCTCCACCTGGGCTCAGTAAACTTGGAAAAAGGAAAATTGGCAACAGCTTTGCAGTTACTGTTGCTTTGTGGAATTAGATTTTTAAATATATTTTTATTTTATTAAATATTTCTCAGTTCCATTTTTAACATTTCTTTTTTCATATTTTGAGTTCCAAATTCTCCCTCCTATTTCTTCCCTATCTCTAGAGGAGGCAAGAAATGTGCTGTGGATTACACATGTGAAGTCATATGGAACATTCCCGTGTTAGCCACATTGTGGAATCATATCAGATTCAGTGATATTGAAGCACTTTGCGCTAAGCCTTTTGTAATGATCTCACAGCCCTTGGGGGTAGGTCCTATTATCCCCACTTTACAGATGAGGATGTGGGCAAATGGAGCTTAAGGGACTTGCTCAGGGTCACACAGATAGTGTGGGCCTGGATTTGAACTTGGGTCTTCCTATCACCAAGCCCAGCCCGCCACCCACTGTACCACCCAGCTGCCCACAAGGCTATTGCAGTGGACCATGGGGCCAGCCTTGGGTGGTAGCCGCAGGAGTGGGGAGCAGAGAATGGACTTAAGAGATGTGGAGACATTCAGCCAGACTCAAGAAGGGGATAGAGGGGCTGCAGGCCCGAATCCTTGGAGGGGTGAACATTCCCTGCTCTCTGCACTCAGGACACAGCTTTCGCAGGCCACACGCTGACCACAGGCCTTCAGAGCCCTCTGCCCAGCCCCCTGGAGACTCGCCAGTCTCAGGCTGTGTTTGACCCAAAGTGGGATCACCACGCACCGTGCTTCTCTCTCCCCCACCCCTCTTCTGACAGGCACAACACCCCAGGATCCTTGTCATTGCTTCCAAAATTAACCTGCTCTAACAGGATGGAGGCTTGCCATCAGCTCTTGAGGAGCCAGGAAGGAATGCTGGGCTCCCACGGCAGGAGTCTAGGCATGTTTGGAGCTGTGTGGCCGGCTTTGTCTGAGAAAATGCCCAAGCTCCCAGGGAGGAAAGGGCGTTCTTTGGAGTTCACCGTCAGGAGTGGGGGAGGTGCGGCTCTGTCCCAGCACCAAAGCCTGTGCATAGTTGGTAATCCTGAGGGTTTCAGGAACCTCCCCAGTCACAAAGCCAGCAGGCGTCTGGGGCAGACTGGACCCAGGACTTCCTGAATGGGGGGGCTGGCTGCCCCTGCAACCCCCCAGGGGCTCTGGGGCCATGATGGCCAAAAATGACCTAATCCTGTCCAGAACCTGGAAGTTATGGTCTGGTTGGACACAACACACACAAACACAGCTCATCCACGTATGTACATGGATACATGTATGCTTACACATGCACAACACACAGATATTGACAAATATATCTGCAAGAACACAAATTTACCCATATACAATGCACGCATGTACTTACATACGAATATATGCACTGCACACATACATAAACATGCATGCTTATATATACGTTTATTCAATGTGTGCATATGAACATTCACGCAGGCGCACATGCCTATGTGCATGCGTGTACGCTATACGTATACACACACACGTACTGAAGTGTGTTACGGGACCGAAGAGGGATCCCAGGGGCTGCTGGGAAGCCGAAGGACAGCTCACTAGAAGCCGGCTGGGCCCAGCAAGGTCATTGATCTCACGAGACTTAGGGACCGCAGCCCTGCACACAGGCGGCGCTCAATGATTGCGTTGTCTCTGCAGAGCCGCAGCGGGCATCAGACGTCACCACCCTACACCCTCGATCTGGGCCGACCCCTTCATTTTCCTGATGAGGAAGAGGTTAAGTGGCCTTGTGGTCACAGCTGGGAAACCTGGGAGGCGGGATTTGAATCCAGGTCCTTAAACAAGGCGGAGGGGAGGCGGGGCGCTCCCTGAGTCCCAGGTGCAGGGGCAGCCTGCATGAATGCTCAGAGGGCCCGCGGGCCAGGTGAACTTGGGGAGCGGCCAGCAGCCTGTCGGTGCCGGAATTTCGAGTTCAAGGAGGAAGAAGAGTCCGCGTGGGCGTGGGGGGCCGGGGGGTCTCTCATCACCTCTTCTCTCTTCTTCCGCCTGCGCCGTCGGGGCTCCCTCCCGGTGTGTTCCCA